GTTTACAATCACCAGTTAACCTAGTTAACCGAACATACATGTCTTTGGACTGCAAAGGAAAACAATCTAACTACACACAGGCAGCTGGTTCACTCAAACCCATGACGACAAAGTTTTGCAAAATCACACACTGCATAAATACATCTTAACCCTTTAAGACCTACCATAGAACCAAGTCCTCCAGGGCTTATATCATATTTTTACATGTTGTAGTGCCATTTTTTGGAGCATTTCAAGTTGATATACATCAATACAACCATTATAGCCCAAATTTTAATAATATGTATGCATTAAGTTTATAGTAATTACATAAATTGCAAAAAAGTGCAATAAACTACAAAAAAATTGAAAATCGTTTTTGTTTTTTTTACCATATATTTCTAGTTAGAGAAATTTAAGAGGCTTATCCCTCAAAACTGTAAATACAAAAAGGTTGCACAAAATAGTTTCCCACCACAGGAAATTTATTTTAAGTGTCTTCATAGTTTTATTTTTGAAATACACCAATTGCAGGAATGCAGGAAAAACGAAAATAAATATTATACTGCAAATTTGCAAAAAAAAAAACAGCATGTGCATCAAAATAAACTATTTCCAGCAGTGCAATTTTTGTTCTATGCATTCCAGAAATGACACAGAAAGTCATAAAGTCAAACATAACTTTTAAAAACACCAGTAAAGGCTCGCTAGGCCCTGATGGTAAAAAACTATATTTCCGCAAAATGGCGTCACTTCCGGTTTCGGGCAGGTCATGCGATAGTTCGCGCTGATGGACGTAGGAAGTGTTACAAACAGCTGATCAGATCGCCAAAGCGTGTTTCTGGAATATTATGTTTTTTGTTGCTGCAAGTGCTTTTTATGCAGTTTTTGCAAAGCTTTATGTGGAAGGAAACTGTGAACTAGGACAAGCTGATGGCATAAGATGTAAGTACAACTCCTCCGGTTTCATATGCAAAACAAATTATTGCGCTAGCTTATGTGGTTGCAGTGCTACCGGGATTTTAAAATAGTTAAGCAAAACAGAGCGTGCCTGCTCCGACCGGCTTTAAAGGGTTAAAATCTCAAGTTTTTATAGCGTAAAGTCAAAAAATATAAGATAATAATAAAATACACCATTTTAGTATCTAATGCTTCAAGGTCATAGGTCAGCGTGTTGTTAGAAAAGCAGGCGGATGTCAGCATGTAATAAAAACATCATTAAACATCAAAGTTTTAGTATAGCCTTTGCCTTTCAGGGGTGAGTTGCTCTCTGAGTGTGCTTGTTCCCACTGTCGCCAAGTGCTTGCTCACGGGGGGTCGTCTGATTGTCGGGGTTTGTTCTGTATTACTGTAAGATCTTTACCTTATAATATAAACCACCTTGAGGCAACTGTTGTGATTTGGTGCTATATAAATAAAACTGAACTGAACTGAATCAGTGCTAAGCACCATCCCACCTACTGTTATTATGTGACTTTAAATGGATTCTTAATGGCCAGAACATAGTTTAACCATTTAGCAAGTAAATCTCTCCCCCCCAAAATAATGCATTTTTTCAGCTGTTTCACAGTAAAAGCTATATTAAAGTGTGCCGTATACAAAAAGAGAAGTGCAGAGTTGACCTCAGCCTTGCCTATCAACTCACACAGAGGCTGTATAGTTGAGTCACAAAGAGAACTGTGACTAAAAGCTGCTAATTTGAGTGCAGCAGTCCACTACATACAGAGAGACTCTAGCTGTGTTAGACACATGCCTTTTGAGACACCAGCCAACTGTATCTTAATGGCATGAGAGCCATAGAAAGAAGTGACTAAGAGCCAGTTTGAAAATAGACATGCAGACGTTGGTATGGCAAAATAGGAGTGACTAAACCCCAGAGTGAGTCTGGACCACGGAGCTGGTGTGCAGCTTCCATGTCTGCATGTCATTAGCTCATATCTTCTGGTCTCGTTGGCAGTGCTCAAACGCTAAGGTGTCCCAGCAGAAGGCTGAACTAGTCCACACATTTAACAGTGAATTTAACATTACAGACCCCAGAGGCCATACGGGGTTTTCATCACTAGGATTTCATCACACACACACAACCTCTTGAGCTACATTCACTGTCAAAATCTCTGCAAAAAATACACCACACTGGTGAACAAAAGGGGATTTCACTCTCAGTCTTCATGCTTCCAGATTCTTTCCTCATGTACACAAACTCAGATCTAAGCTCCACCCAGGCACATATATAAACACATGCTTCACTACACTTTTTTTTTTTATCCTTGTGTCTATATCATATGACGAGGCTCAATCAGTCCTGGATGGACTATTCATCCTCCAAATTTGACACTGAATCCTACCCAATAACAAACAGCTTCATCCCTTTTCCCGCTCTGCAGACCATCTTTATCTGGAACAGCTACAAACACACATGCACGCACCCATAATCTACAAATGCACCTAGATCAGTTGAGCTGAGTGCACCTGAATAATTCATATCAGGAAAAATTTACTACGAGCCTTCATTATGAGCAGGGACAAATGCTTGTTTTGTATGGTACAAGAACTATGAGACAGCCCTTCAAAAAAATGCCACCCTATACGCAGTGACCCATTACCATATTATTGGCATGCAGAAGTAAATTACACCAGAAATCAGCCTGAAATTAACTCCGCAGAGCTGTAATAGCTTTTTGCATTCAAGAAAAACACAACATGACACACGGGAGCCTCAAACTAATGAATGGCATTGAATATAAAGCAAATGGCCTGAAATCACGCCAACGGAAGAGGCAACAAGTCGTGCTTCTGGTCATCTCCTCTTTTAGATACAAAAATAGTCCCTCTCAGCCATTACTCACAACCCACTCAAAGTGCGTATGCATATTCATCTAACGAGACTCTTCCTTCTGCCTCTGCTTTCTCCTTTCTCTCTTATTTTGCTCTGTTTTGGACATTGCTGGGCTGCAACCTTTGCTGAGAGGTTGTGTAACACCAGGCAGCAGCAATGTCCAGGCTGTGAGGGCAGAACAAGTAGAAAACACTGCAACCAGGTTACACATGAGCCCATATATAAAACAATCAATTTCAATCGCCAGCACTGATTAAAAAAATAAGTTTGACTATACAGAAGCTTTTGAGAATCCTGCTCACAGTATTTACGACCTCAGTAAACAGTTTATGATCTCGTTTTCTACGTTAAAGTCTTAACTACAACACAATGTTTATATTGTCCTAAATTATGTTTCCATATAGAACAGAACAGGTGACTGGCAAGCTGCTACCTTACTTGTTAGACGCCGACAACCAAAGTGTTTAAATAGACTTACAGCTGGTTAAGTCCATTTTTTTGCGTACGGTCTCTGGTTACATGACTGTCTCTGTCACTGCAGTGCTCTCTGCCTGTGTCATGAATGTATAAAGAGCTGCGTGGCCGCTCGCTTGATGCTGATTTACAGATTACAGAGCGGAGAAGCCACAGTGGACAGGATGACGGCGAGCGCCTCGGATGCATTCACACAAAATCCGGCAATGCGAAGCCTCGCTGCAGGGCAGTGTGAAGGTTTGCAGAGGTGTGGGTGTTTGTATTTCTGTTTTAGAACGCAGCCACTCTCAAACGAGCAGAAAATTGTTTAATTCTCTGATTCACTGCTTTGTTCTCCTTAATGCCGTTGCTTCCAGTCATTCGCTCTTTCATTTGTTCAATCACTCCTCGGTGAGCTGTGGAGCGCAGACCTGTACTACAGGTTTTATGTTTCTGTACTATGAATGTGGTCCAGTTCGTACAGGGGTACATCACCATGGTAACTAATGCTCCAAACCTAATCTGCTTATGTTCCTGATTAGAGATCAACAGGTATGCAATCACTGTCTATTGATCAATCAAATCTCCAGGAAACAGCGTCACCGTTCCTGGAAGTTCTCTTGAAATTCCGTCTAATGTCTCTGTGTTTCCCAGATGAGGATGAGTAATAAATACAGATTCTTGGATGCAATTTTATTCCTTCACTGTAAACTCACACGTTGCCAGCTTTTCTTCCTGCCTTCAAATTGGCTATGCTTCATTAAAATAGTAGCTCTTTCATACTGACTGAAACGTTTAAAGCACAGACATTCAAACCATGCTGTCAGAGTAATATTCTGGGTATGTTGAACTTGTTTTGTAGTGCAAGGTCCAGGTTTGAATGCTGAAAATTCCTTCATAATATCCCTTAAGGTCAATACTACTGATCATTAAAATAAAAGAAACAATAGGCACAAATCTAACTTTCTACAAAATACTACAAAAAAAGATCACTGATGCATTCCTAGAGCACTTAAGGTGTAATTTATCCTCAACTTCTACAACTTATCTCACCTTGAACTACACAGTGACGCACAAGAGCTTTCAAGCACACACTTTTCAGTAGCTCCATTTGCTTTTACATCAGTGGCCTTCATCAGCAGATGGAATTTGCTCAGTTGTCATCGAACTGTAGCTGTTAAATGTTTCCATTGCAGGTGATTTTCATCTTTGAAAAGCGCTGACGTAAATAACACAAAGAGCAATGGCTAAATTCCATTTAGCTGCTTTGGCTTTCAAGTCCTGGTGTTGTGCGAGCTCGATCATTGGTTGAGCTGGTTCACAACTTACTGGATCGCTGAGCGTGCCCATAAATAAAAGACAAAAAGTTTTTTAGAGTGAAGCAACACTGGGTTTCAGGGAAAAAAGAGTGGATTTGTTTTCAATGATACATTAAAATAACAAACTTGATCATAAATGTTGAAGATAATTAATGGGTAATGGAATAATTAGTCAGATGACCATTTATGACTTTAAATGGACTGTGCAGGTATACAGAGGCCCATATTCCACACAGCAACCACCCAGTGGCACACTGTGTTACCTAATGCAAGTTTATCATGTTAAAAGGCTAACTGATCATTAAAACAACCATTTTCCAATTATGCTAACACAGCTGAAAACAGTTATGCTGATTAAAGGAGCAATAAATGTGGCTAGTTAAGTGTCTGGAGCCTCAGCCTTTGTTGCTCGATTACAGTCTTAGAATAGCCACACAAAAAAGGAAAAAGGAAATTTCTAAAGAATGGAGGATATCATATAACACTGTGCACTAAGGCCTGGTGCACAACTGAGCACAAGGTCAGGAACATTAGTTAGTTTGAGACCGATGTCTCACAGGTCTTACCTGAAAAACACGAGTTATGAGTGAAAAGGAAATCCCTGAATCCTTTCTTTTGAGGAAAAGTTGCAAAGGACAAGAAGAGAGACTTTTGCCAGACTAAGATGTGGCTTTTTCTTTTTAGTGGAGTCACCTCTTCACAGGGTAAGGTCTATTCTGAGCATTCTGAACTTGTCATCTATGCTGGCCCAGTGGGCTTGTTCTGGTGAAACCTCACAGCTTGAAATCTTTTTCACGGTTTGGAGGATGGGTTAATGCGTTCTTTGTGATATTTTTCAGGCAGCTTTGCACAGCACCAGTTTTTTAACGCGTGGCAGCAACTGTAGGCAGCGCATGTGCCGAGGCTGTAATTCGTCTGTAAGTGATGGAGGCAGCATACACCCACAAGTGTTCTAGTCTAACCTGACATGCTGAAGGAGGAGGATGCCCACAAGCACAGGTCAAAGTTAACAACAACCCAACTCATTGACAAGAAAGAGTCAGGGATGAACAAAGGGTGATAACTAGAGCCTGTGGAGCGCAGACCTGTACTACCATAGGGCTCTCACCCTATGGTAGCTGGAACACCCTGGACAAGTAGCCAGCCTATGTAGGGCTAACACAGAAAGACAAACAACCAGTCGCACTCACATTCATACCTGTAGGCAATTTAGAATCGCCAGTTAACTTAACCCCACTAACTGCATGTCTTTGGACTGTGGGAGGAAGCTGGAGTACCCGGTGAGAAGCAAACACAAGGAGACTCGGGGGGGGGAGGCCCCGGCCTGGTGTGTGGACCTTCTTACTGTGAGGCAACAGTGCTAAATTAGTTTGAGACAGATGTCACTGAGCAGTGAAATGGGCTAAAATGGTTGCAGCAGTTAACATTATATAAATGCTTAAGCTAAAGTAATGTGAATAAGATTTCACCTCGTAGTAACGTTAGTAGGCTGCTCGGAAACCACCCCAACACTTCAGTCTGTGTCCTGTCAGTAAAGTACAATGTTAACATTTCCTGTTCTGTTCCTGTTCTAGAAATGAATGAGGTCCAGAATTTTTTCTCTTTACAACATGTGTGCTTCAGTGACCAGCAGAAAAGGCCAGACTTCTGAAGAGATTCGGTACAAAGAAATTCACACCAGAAATTCTGAAAACTGTAAAGTACTTTATTTTGTATAGCTTCCCTCTTTTTCACAGAAGCTACTTTGTATATATATATAAATGTGGAAGTTGAATCTTGTCTGGCTGTAAAAAAAATAAAATAAAATAAAACACAAAAGAATTATTCCCTCCCTTGAAATTAAAACGGCAGAAAGAAAAAAAGTTACTCACTCCTGGCCCTGGCTCCACTGTGCCTCTGACTCACTCCTGGTGTCTAAACCAACCAATTATCATTCCTCATGAGTCCTGTGTTAACCTAACCTCCTAAACACAAGCCAGTCAGAGTCACTGCAGAATTCCCAGAATTCCCGTAGTCTTTTCGAAGTAAAAGCCACAATGATCCAGTTTTACTGTCTTGTTCTGAAAACAAAATGACCAAAGTCCAGACCTCATATCTGGATCCAGCCCTGCCTGCACTGTTGGTTTAATTTAAACATATTCCATTATTCTTATCTCATCGTGACATATCTTAAATTGTTCTTATCTTTCATCAAAAATTACGACTATCATTGCTGGATGTCATCACTTGCTGTATCATTTCTTGGCACTTTCCCACAGATGCTTGAGTCTTGTTTTTGTGTTAGTCTTCAATCAACTCTGAGTCCAAGCTTATTTTTTTTCACTGAGAGTCAATTTTAATTTATTTATTTTTAAACATTCGTCACTCCCGTGGAAGCACTTTGGAAAGCTGCACCTCTTCTGGCTTCCTCCTCAAACCTCAGACGCTATTATTCAATTTCGTACAGTCAGGCTTTCTCCTTATTTCTTGCGTAGAGGTGCAGGCTTCTCTCTTACAACATCATCACCACTTCCTCTGCTTCACCTAGATGTAAGTGTGTTTCCTTATATAGAGAAATGGAGGCGGAACAGTATGCAGATAGCATGCAAACTGTATGGAGAATGTACCAGGCTGAGAGCAAAACAGGTGGGTATGCACATTTCATAAATGCAACAATAAATTTTGCATGCAAACATTATTATTTATTTATTTTTCGCACAGGTTAAGAATGATTCCATGCAAATATTCATAAATAAGGCCGTCTAACTTGGAATAATGAGAGTTAAGTTGAGCCATATTATCCATTTTGTGCTCTTTTTTGTGACTCTGTCTTAACCCTGTAAAACCTGAACCATGAAGTAATGGCCAGAATTTTTTTTACACCAAGTGTTTATTAAATCTTTTATCAATTATATTTAAAAAGATCAAACTGAATATAAATGTGCATATATGAGTTTTAATTTGTATCCTTTTTGCTACATTGTTTATCTTAAACACACAAAAACCTATAAGGGAGTTAGTGTTATGATTCAAAAATCACACTGATGATGTGGAGGTCTCAAAAACTCATGTGTCAAATATGATGTACTTGGCGCAAGAGGGCTGACTAATACATGTTTAAACAGCATTTTGGTAAATATAAGTAAGACACATAGACATATTATAGACATGACTAGAAAGTCTGTTATGCACAAATTTGAGTGGTTTTATGTAATTTTACATATGTTTGCATGTCAGTGAGGGTGTGTAGTATGATCCTGTCTGTGTGCTTACACGCTATAAATATGGATGGGTGAACGCATATGTGTGTGGGTGTATCTGTATTAACAGTGGCCCTATACACTGTTAAATTTAGCTGTCATGGAGAACACTAAGAGTATGACAAATAACCATGAGAAAAGACTTCCTCGTATAGTACTTACAGCAGAGTGTGGGAGTGTGGGTGCAGGTAGCACAGCAGGACGAGGTAAGGTCTCAGTGGATTACTGAACAACCTCTAAAGGAGACAATAAGAGGCCATCAGGGGCGGAGAGGGGAGAGGCTAGATTAATGAAATATGAATGTGTTTACTGAACAGCTGTCATGGCAGCCTACTGATGGCTCAGGGATATTAAAAATACACGGCGCAGCTGATGGCTTCACCTACACTTCAGCGACCCCCGCCATCTTCAGAAACTACTCTAATCAGCATACAAACTCATCGCAATCACAATCACCCACAGAAATGATCATCATCACACTCTTCATCACTATTCCCATCCTCACCATCAGCCATCGCCTGTTCATCTACATTATCGCTTTCATCGCGCGGCGGAATCACGCCGCTGCAGGAAATTGAAGTCGGCCAGATCAATAAATACAATATAAAATTAAATTAGCTGCCAAGATGAGGTGAAAATGTGAGAATAAGTGTTTGGAGGCAAAGGCAGAGGTAACGCTATCCAGTCGAAACAATCAAAAAACACATTTCGGACACAAGCAAACATCGCGGTGAGGCGACAGGCTTCCTGTTATGGATTTATGAAATGAGTTAAAAGAGGTGAGCCACATATGCTTTGATGTTTGTACCTGTGCGCGCGTCTGTGAGGTGTGCGTGTGTGCGTGTGTGCGTGTGTGCGCGTGACCATGACATCATTTCTGCAGTGTCTAATCAAGGAGAAAGGGAGCCAGCTTTTGCAAGGGAGCTGTAATGTAAACACAATTGACCTGCTTTAATAAGAAAAAACACGATACTTGCACTTTGCCCACACTTTCACAGAGACACAGAACACCTTCACTCCACCTGCGACGATACACAGCCTCACCACCTGCTAAAACAGATCCCAATGTATCTCCGCTCTTTTGAAGTTTTATCTTTTCTCAGTGAAGGATGGCGATTCGCTGCATGGCAAAACTCCATCTGTTCATTTCAATATGAATGGGCATGTAAGTTTGGTGCCGCTGGAGCGGCAGAGATGTGAAATTGCGGATGGCATGCAGAGCGGCCCCGACACGCAGGGTTAATTCAAAACGCCTTTGATGTCTGCCTGCGTGTGAAATGAGCTGGTGGTCCAGGGTTCACTCATACACATGCCAGCACATACATACACGGTCGTACGCGCATACTCATCACACCTAAAAAAAGAGAGAGAAAAACTGGAGGGACCACTGATGTGGGCACGTGAATCCAGCCACACAGTAATCAATCAGCTCATATCGCATATTCTACAGCGCCAAAACACCATCAGAAACTCTGCCTCGCTGTGTTGAGAAGCAAATCCATTGCACTCTTCAGGATTTAACTCTTGAGCATCCCCAAAACATTCACTCACATACCATCCACATGACAATGGAAGCTTAAGCAGCCTGTAGGCAACAACAGACGGCTGGCTTACACACACAATACCTGTGCAAAGCAGACGCAGCTGCACAGCAGTAAATGTCAGGATGAAATTTTAACTGTCGTACACAAAACGTATCTGATTAAGCTCTTAGGTGTCAGTAACCCGAATCAAGCATTTGTTGTATTTTTCCCTCAAGCACTTTTATGATTTATTTCTGCTTCGCCAAAAGTTACAGAGCCTTTAAAGTCACACCTACACTGTCATTAATGTAATTATAACTCACAATAAACGAATGCATTTAGCTCGAATTCAATTAGATCAGCTGTGTCATTTCTAAATACACGCTGAGTGATAGTAATTACAGTGTTGATGCTAATGTAAATAGCAACGTCGGTTGTAACTCAGACAATTGGCCGCTGCATTGAAACCGGTGACAGAAAAAACATAAACAGAATTATTTATAAACAAACACACAGATTTGTGCAAATTGTGAGGTTGGAAGTCGGGGCGACTGTGCACTGCCGGATGCTTTTTTTCAAAAATAAATGACTTATATGAGCATTAAAATCATTTATTTACTTTTATGGTAGGATACTCTCTGAATGTGAAGATAATAAATGGCACAGCGGCACTGGCGAAACGTTTGATTGTGGAAAGTTGCTCAACAAGTTTAATGAGTATGCGAGTGCTAAACATTTTGAGTTTGTAATATTGGTTGGGAAAAATGGAAACGCGGCTCGTTATCTTTCAATTTCACTGTGAAATAACTCGTAAAGGGAGGTAATGGTGTTCTCTTTGTCTCTAATCAGTCTAATGTGTTGATAGCGATGCTTTTTACTACATCCTGCTTGGAGCTACGTCAGTATTTTATACTGACCGGCCTTTATGAGAGGCTTTCAGGTCCACAAGTTTTGATGGCCAAAAACGGCAACAGGAGGACCACATGCCCCTGTCTGCTTTTGTTATGGGGATCACTATGAAGGAGCAGGTGTGACTGAAGCAGTAAAAACAGGATGGGAGCTTAAAATTATTTTATTTCAGTTTTGGGTTGTTTGGGAATATAAAGGACTGGTTTATATCCAAAACAGTAGGGGTGGGGGAAAAAATCGATACTGTGTAGTATCGTGATATTTTGTTTGCTAATAATGTATCGATACAGGACAGCAGAAATCGATATTTTGTTACAAAAAAAGTTTTTGTGGACTGGAACATGCTCTGACTTCAGAGCATGTTGATCAGCTCCTTTTTCTGAGCAAGAATCCTGACATTCTGACATCCTGACATTCCTTCACTGTCCAAATGTGTTTGTCATGTTCATTGCTGCCATAAAAAGTTTACTTATTTTCATTTAAGACATGTTGTATTTTAATTAAGTTTAAAACTTTTTTATTTAATGTAAAATTATATTTTGTTTTAATTTACTTTCAAATTCTTCAGTTGCTGAATGGGGCTGCATAGTTTTCACAAATTTCATAGTTCAGAATAGCTATAATTGTACCAGATGGTAAGTTGGACTAGACTGTAATACAAACCGTTCAGTTTGTCAACAATAAAACTGACTGAAATGAGAGAAAGACTGAGTGTGAGACTTTGTTATTAGATAAAATGAATATTAATAAAGTTTACCTTTATGTACAGAATCTGAATATCGCAAAATATTTTTAAAAATTGCAATAATATCGTATCGTGCGTTAAGTATTGTGATAATATCGTATCGTGGGATGTATGGTGATTCCCACCTCTACAAAACAGTGGCAAGACACTTACGTGAAGGAGACAAGGGGGCTGGAAAAGGATGGAGAAGGGTTGTGTAGGGTTGTGTCACAAACACAATGCCCAATGCCCAGAATTAGCCCAGCAAAGACCCCATCAGGCTGACACAATGCCTAATTTTAACTGTAACTTTTAACTATTTTTAACTTTAATGTTTTTACAGTGTTTCCTACTGACAAAAACCTCCATTATTGCCATTCATACTACACCAAAGTAATTAAGTAATAGATA